GGATTAGGTTTCACCTGTGTGCAGTTCATATTATTTGTAAATCTCCCCCTCTCTCATTCCCAGGATCAGCTATTCTTTTACTTCATGCCTCTCACACATGGATTTTCTTTACCATTACCTTGAAAAAAGAGCCAGTAGCTCTACTGAATTTTCCCTGGAGAACAATTCTTCCTCTTCACCTTCAAACATGTCAGCCCTGCCCTTCCCAGAGAGATCTGTGTGGTACTTTGCAGCTCATGCCATGAGAAATTGACCGGCTGGATCTTAACTAATTCTTTTGACAATCGGTGGACCAAGCACATCCTGGGAAATGCATGCTTTTATATAGTTTAATAGTGGGAATGATTTGGTAGCATTTGCTTAGATGAGTTGGAGATCGTATTTTTGTCTTGCAAATGGAGCAGGTGTCAGAATAAGAAAATAAAATTTTAGCGGTATTGAGACCTCTGGAAACTGATGCAGGACATCCCCCAAATATCTTTGGCAACAGAAAGCATGCTCCATTAGATTCACTGGATCTCAGAGTTGGAAAAAGGACTTCAGAAGTTGTCTATACTACCCTAGAACCCTAGGCTCAGTTATCCTAGAATCCCCTGTCTGACTTCCCTAAGAAATGCTCTTACGGCCTTTGTAGGAAGCTGTCTACCTCCAGAGAGTCATGTCTCAACAGTTCTGACTGTTGGAAAGAGTTCCTGAAATTCTTCCTGTGTCTGCCATCTTGTCTCCATTTCCTGGCTTTCCTCAGATCCCACCTAAAATCCTCCTGTGTTCAATAAGCCTTTGCTGGTTTTCAACCTTAGTGCTTTCCCCCTGGCATCATCTCCATTTTATCTAGAATTGTTTGCATGTTTTCCCCTTCCTCATTATACCCCATTACACTGTGAACATTTCAAGAGCAGGGACAGGATTTGGGGGTGTTATTTTTTTCCCTATTTCTTTGTATCCCCAACACTCATCATAGAGCCTGGCACATCAAAATTGCTTAATAAAGGTTTGTTGACTTGACTTGTTGGCTGACCTTTCTGCTTCTGTTCATGCCCTGAGGCCAAACAGAACAAGTGTCGTCCATATGACAGCCCCTCATTACCTCCTTAGTCTCTTCTTTCAAGAGACCTGGGATCAGATCCCAGCTCTGTCTGTTCCCCACCATGTGACCCAGATCTGGTTTCCTCATCTGAAATATGGGGCTAGTAAAATGTACACGTATACTGTCCACCTCATCTGTTTGTTATGAGGAAGACCTTTTTTTTTTTTTAAATCTTAAAGCACTCTAGAAACAATCATTTTGAAATTTAGAAATTTAATTTAGAGTGATCCTTTTGGGCTGAACCCGTAATTTCGTCCACGTGGGTAACTCAGGGTCTGATGACTGCCTCCAGCAAAGATGACAGTTGTTCTGTGATTTCCAGTGGCGTCGTGATCTCTTGATGAGAACACTCCCTCTGCTTAGACAGACAAGACAAGGATTGTCCAGCATAGAGAGCTGTCCAGGGCCATGCTAGTAGTTTGTCAGAGTCGGGAACTGAACCCAAGACTTAGCACCTTTGAGACCAGCTTTCTGTCCATTAAGCCACATTGTCCGTTGAGATAGTATTTTTATTATTGTTGTTGGTATTATTATTTTGTTGTCCTTCCAGATAAAATGTTAGTTCTTTGAGGAGTGTGTGTGTGTGTGTGTGTGTGTGTGTGTGTAGATACAGTATCCCCAGTGCCTTGCGTATAAATCTTTAATAAGTGCTTGCTGATTGATTGAGTCTCATCTTTTTGATAGAGTTCGGATAGAGATGGTTCTGAAATTATCCTGGTGTTTTTCTCTTTCATTCATTGTTTTGGGAAGCAGCCTGGTGTGGTGTAGAGAGAGTTGGCCACTGTACCAAGACAACTTGGGTTCAAATCCTACCTTTGGTACATATGGGTTATGTGACCCAATGCAGATCACTTAACCTCACAATGCTGTAGGCAGTCTTCTTAAGATGATAGTCTTAGAGGCGCCAGCCTACACTGATAGAAGGAATTCATCACCTGGGAGTTCTCTGCACCAATGAAATCCCAGGTCCAGCCTCTGTCCCCTATTTAACGTCCTTCAGACTGTCGCACAGGTGGCTAGAATATCCACTTTTTGTAATTGAATAAAAGTATTAGAATGTCAGCTCATCTTTTCTAGGATCATTGTAGATACCTTTGGAACAAGTCCATTAGCAGAGAGGATACTGGGCCTGGGTATTTTGTCCTGTTCTCATGTTATTTTCGTTTCTTCCTCAACGTCTCTTAGTTTTGAATGCTTTTCATTCTGTGTAGTTTGGAGTGTATGAGTTTCAAGATAGTGACATCTATTAAAGATGTTCTTGGGTTTCTTTTTTTTGGGGGGGGGGTCAGGTAATTGGGGACAGCAGTTGTGTCTGATTATGCATCCATGGTTCCAAGTCTCTCTTTGCCCAAAACCATGGTCCCCCTCCCTTCCACATACTGCTGCAGCTCTGGGCTACCTGGCTTTCACCTCTTAGTACTGGTCATCTGAGAAAAGCACATACTGGCCTTTCTTTCCTGGCTACAGTTCTTTGCTTGAGGAGAAGGTGATGGACACTAAGCAAAGAAGAGCAAGAAGGGACATTGAGGATCAAGGAGGATCCTGAGTAGGGTTTTGGAAGACACGAGAGCCCTTGTCTCCACAGGGCATGGGCTACCTTTGAGTTTAGGAATAGAGACAGAAAGGAAGGAAGAGCTGGCTGCTGTTTGAAATGAAAATAGAACTTGTCAGCCTTCTTGGACAGTGCAATCACATATTGGATGCAGTTATGCAAATTTGTAGCTTTCAAACCAATCAGATAGTGGATATAGTTATGCAAATTTGCAGTGTTTAAACCTTTTTCTGTGAATAAATTGGTTGCATTACCATAACACTCCAGGTTGGCTCTGAGCATGAGGCTATCAGTGAACATCTAAGAGCAGGCTGATTCATCTCAAACCACAGTCTTAAAAACTCTGCCTTGCATTTACATCCCTCATCGCCCAGTGCTGAGCGCCCTGCCTGATACATAGTAGAAACTTAATAAACACTGGTTGATCAATTGATACTGAATGATACAGGAACAAATGCCATATCTGCTTCTATTTCCGTAGGGCTCCAAGGTTTACAAAGCACTTTGCAGACATTATCTCACTTAAGCCTCACACTGGCCTTGAGAGGTGCTCAGGTTTATCCCATTTTATAGGAGTATCATAGACTTGCCCAGGGTCATAGAACCTATGTCTAAGACAGGATTTGAACCCCTTCTTCCCTATTCCAGACCCACCTGTTCTATCAGCCTTGCCCTGCAAGAGATGGTAGGATTTATAGAATGTGATGAAAGAAACCAGCATTCACTTCCATTTCTTAATTTCTTTCTTTTTAAGGTGTACTCTGCTAGACGTTCAAAGACAAAAAGTAAATAGCCCCTGCCCTTAAGGAGATTACAATTTAGAGGGATGGGGATGGAAATAGAGGTTATTGCTTGTACAGAGAAATAAATATCAAAGGCAGGCAAAGTTTATGTAAATTTCAAAGGGGGGGGTGCTAGGTGAGGATACTAACAGGGGCAAGGAGGAGGGGATTAGGAAAGGCTGTAGGAGGTCCTGCCTAAATAGGCTAATCTGTGGGTGTTTATTTAGCGCTTACACTGTGCCAGACACAATACAAAGACAAAAATGAAACTTCCTCTTCCCTCAACGAGCTTACCTCCTGTTGAACTGAACCAAGCTATGAATGGAAAAATAGGTCTACCGAGAGTTGGAGCTGAGGATTCTTGGGCTGCCTTTCTTGTCATTTTTGGGCTCTTCATTCCAGAGGACTTTTCATCTGCTCATCCCAGGGACCGGAGCCTCTGGGCAAGGGGTGGATTCTGTTTGTTTCAGTTTTGAGTTAGATCTGAATATCTCAGATTGGGGTTTGGAAGTCAGACATAGGCTAAGACAAATATTCAGAGAATTAAGGTTCTCTCGGGCTTTTTTAATGCCTTGAGAACCTCAGATGAGTTGTTTGCAGGAGAGCCTGCTGTGTGGCTGTGGTCCATTGGACTGGTGTACATGCTTCAAATTCCTTTTTCTTTATCGAAAGGAATGTTGAAGATGTTGGGAGGCAGCCAAGTTAACTTTAGGGCGAAGGTTTGAAGTCCCAATGTGGATTTCCTCCGAGTAGTCTCTTGTGGTTTTCCTATTCTGTGGAACATAGATAAAGTAACGTGGATTATGGGGAGGAAGTGGTTGTTACAGCCTACTGTAACTTGGCATGTGAACTTGAAGCCAGCTCAGCTCAAGACCTCAGAAGACCTAATTAACAGATTTGTTGTAAAGATCAAATGAAGTGCTTGGTGTGAATGGATTTGGTACATCCTCGTCATTTATTTTTTTTCCTTTTGTTTTATTATGAACTTAACTATAACCTTCCATTTTACAAGTGAAGAAAATGAGGCTCCACGAGGTAAACACTAGGTGGCACAGTAGATGAACTTAGAGCCAGGAGGACCTGAGTTCAAAGCTTGCCTGAAACACTTATTAACTGTATCACTCTGAACAAGTCACTTAACCCCTCTTAGCCTCACTCGTAAAGTGGAAATAATAATAGCATCTACTACTATGAAGTTATTATGAGGATCAAATGAGATGATAGAAGTGAAGTGCTTTGCAAACTTTAAAGTTCTGTTAAAATACTGCTGCTGCTGCTGCTGATGTGGTCATGATGAAGATGATGATGATGGTGGTGGTGGTGGTGGTCATGATGATGGTCATGATGAAGATGATGATGATGGTGATGTCCATGCTTTAGATAAGCAGTGTTGAGGTGGTGCAAAAGTCTCATTTTCAGAGCTACTGTTGTATGAGAAAGAAAGGTTTAATTATCGAGGACCTTCCACGACACATGACTTATTCCCGGCATTGACATTCTTCATGCAAAACTAAGAAAGAAAACAGGTCCTTATGAAAACTAGCATTGACATACTTTTTGGGCTTTCTCCCACTTCTAGGGGAAAAGGAACAGTGGCTTCAGAGAATGTTATTTTGGGAGCCAGAAGCATTGCAAGTTGACCAAGCTTTGTCCGGCAATGAGATATACATTCAGGCTGGCCGCACGCAATGACATCGGGACCAGGTAATGTTGCCTCCCATCAGCCTACCAGCTTCCTTATTGGCCTTCCAGTCTGTGCTCAGATACAGGGTAGGGGAATCAAAGATCTTGGGGTAAGGGGGACTTTGGTCACTGAGTCCAACCCTGTTGTTTTACAGTTGAGAAATTTGGGGACTGGAGAGGTTTAAGTGATTTACCCAAAGCCACACAGTAGAAAGTGGTAGAGCAAGATTTGAACTGGGTCTTTTGATGCCAAATCTGACATTCTTTGTACTCTCCTAAGCTGCTTGTAGCATTGTGAGAAAGTAGGTTGGTAATATTTCAGTGGAAGAGTGAGAGTAGTGGCCCTCTTATGAGGTGTTAAACCTTGCTCGTGGGCTCTTCCTGGTGTTACCAGAATGCATCTGTTCTGTGAAAAAGCCTAGGGACCTCTGTGAACCAAGAAGAACAATCAATAGTTAACAGTCCAGGATTTGAAAAGAATCCCAGCTCTTTGCTTTATTGTTTTTAAAGTGGTGTGCTTCCGTCTCCTTTCACTACTTAAGCAAGCTTTTCATGCATGTTCCTTTTTCAGTGAAGTATAGGTGGAGGAAGTCAGGGGTGCTAAGCCCACGATCAGCCATGTGTGAGACTGCAGGACAGCTGTGGGCCTAAGCAGAAAGCCTCAGTTGGCCAGAATGCTCTAGAAATGAGTTGTTTTAAATGAATCATGAATCAGCCTGAGAGCCCTTTTTGTGGTTTGTAACAGTTACCTCTGACAACAATGCCTTTGATCGCTTTCCTACCTTAGTCATCCCAGTAAAGCGAACATGGCTGTTCCTTTAGTGACTGGGAGTTCCTTATAGACCAAGGCTGGCTTTTGCCTCTTCTTGTATCCCTGGAACTTAGCACAGTGCCTAGCAGCACATAATAGGCGCTTGATAAATGTTTACTGACTGGCTAACAGATTGTGATAAACATTGTGTAGCCCCGTTCGATGTACCAGGAGTGGATTTCACTGAGTGTGGACTAGCCCTCAAGATGTATCCTGGCAGGTGCATATTTTGAGGGAACCCCCTGGTACCAGTTTTGGTGTGTGATTTGCTTCCCAATGACATAGATTGGGAGGATTATTTATCTTTTTTTTTAATGTCATGGACCCCTTTGGCAATCTGGTCGAGCCTGTGGACCCCTTTTCAGAATGAAAGTCTTAAAGGATTACAAAGGAAATTAATTAGAACCATCTAAATATTTTTTTGGGGGGGCAATTGGGGTTAAGTGACTTGCCCAAGGTCACACAGCCAGTACGTGTCAAGTGTTTGGTCTGAGGCTGGATTTGAACTCAGGTCCTCCTGACTTCAGGGCTGGTGCTCTATCCACTGCACCACCTAGCTGCCCCCATAAATTTTTTTTTTTTAAAACAAGCTCACAGACTCCAGGTTAAGAAATCCTGCCATCAAGGACTTGGAATCAGGAGGACTCTGAGTTCAAATGTGGCCTCAGACACTTATTAACTGTGTGACCCTGGGCACTTATCCTCTGTTTGCTTTAACTTACTGGAAAAGGAAATGGCAAACCACTCCAGTGTTTTTGCCAAGAAAACTCCATAGATGGTATTGGTGTGCTGTGGTCCTTGGGGTCACCAAGGGTTAGACACAACTGAACACCCAAACAGCAACAAGAAACCAACTCCTAACGGCGAAAGCTGTCCAGAAGAGGCCTCAGCTGGTTTGGGAGGTCGTGGGCTCCCTTTCACTGGAGGTCCTCGTGCAAAGGTTGCTTTGGGGAGTTGTTTTTGATGACCTTTCCAGCCCAGAAAGTCTGCCATGATGAATTACAGTCTGTTCATTTGTGTATAATCATGTGAATGTACACTATGTTCACCACAGTGGTTTCTATGGACATTTAAAGAATGTAATCCATGGGTGGGCGAGACATCTGTTTAGTCTCCCAGTGTTCATTTGTCGTCCTGAGACAAGGTGTGCATTTTGTTGGAACGAACCCAGGATCAGGATAACGAGGATTCTGTGAAAGAACTTCCATTTTTCCTGGAGACCCACAGCCTGCATGGGAGTCACTGGTGTTGTTTGTAAATAGTTGTTTGTGTGTTATCTCCCTGTTAGAACATAAGCTTCTGAGAGTGAAGGCTACTTCTTGTATCTCATCAGAATGCCTCTCTCATGCCCCCCTGGCCTGCCGTCTGTCTTCCTCCCAGGAGGAAAGGTCTCCTCTGTAATCCCCCTTATCTGGGCACCCACACACCCCTTCGCCAGCTCATTAGTTAGCTCATGGTGTCTCATTTCTCCCCAGTGGCTACAGCCAGGAGATGGTGTACTACACCTCTGGGAACATCCCTCAGACGCCCTCTGCCCCAAGACTCGTTCGAGCCGGAGTCACGTGGATCACACTGCAATGGAGCAAGCCAGAAGGCTGCACGGCAGAGGAGGTGATTACCTACACCTTGGAGATCCAGGAAGATGATCACGTAAGTCCTGGCACTGCCAACCATCTCCTTGGGTGGCTGCTTGAACCCGGGTGTATCAGCCTCACCATGGGACAACATGCCTTCCTCCATTTTAGAGATGGAATAGTCCTGGGACACCATCACACCCAAACCCCTTGTTTTAGAGAGGAGGGAACTGAGAGAATGTGGCCAGGCTCACACAGCTAGTTGCTGAGACAGGACTTGAACCCGAGACTTCCTGGTTTTAAGTCCCATGCCTTGCCCACTACACCTCACTCCAGAGGAAATCTTGGGGAGACAATTTCTAGTCAAGTATTGCCCAATCTCCAGCCATCCTTGGGGGAAAGGTTCCCCAGCTTCTTACCAGAAGAGGATAGTCACTATGCTCTTACACACCCTGCTGACAGTTTCCCATCAAGAGAGGTTTACAAACAGGACTCTTTAAAATCTTATTGATGCGCTTTGTTTTTATATCACTTTTATCTGTGGTCATATCCCTTCCGAACAATCGATGAGAGAGAGAGAGACAAGGAAGGAGGGAAAGAGGGAGGGGGGAAATTCAGCGGAAGTGACCCAATCTAAGAGTGTTTTCTAAACCTTCACCATGACCCCTGCAAAGAAGGAGAGTTGTATTTTCTCACTCGTCCTAGGAAGACTGTGTATTTCTTAATGAATCCAAATAAACTTAAAGCCAGTTGGGTCTATCAGAAAATCAGTGTTTGTCTCAAGTTGTTACTTTCTGGTCTTTTGCTTCATGTCAGATGCCTGGCTCATGGCAGTGACCCAAATGCATTCATCTTCCTTCTTTCCTCCTGTTGAAATCCTTCGTAGGATCTTAGACTAATAGCTTTAGAACTGGAAAGGACCACACAGGTTATCCGTTTCATCCCACTCATTTTTACAGATAAGGAAACTGAGGCCCAGGGTGATCCTAGCATCTAAAGGGATCTGAGTGACCACCTAGTCCAGCCCACTATAACATTCCCAATAAATGACTTTCCCCAAGTCCTCTATGGAATAAGTAGCTGGGTCAAGATTCGAATCCAGGTCTTTGGAATCTCAGTGCAGTGCTCTTTTCCTTGGTCTACAATGCCCCCAATAGCAGCTCAGTCCTTCATTCCTCATAGCTCACGTCATTACTGTAGGGTGAGTCCAGAAGAGTCCTCTGTGGCGAAGTAATGGGCTACCTTTCCCTGCTCCCCCAAAGGAAATTGACATTCTAAGAAGAAAAGAGTGGAGAGAGGTCTTGCCGTCATCAAGCTTAGTTAACCCTGGCTTGGTACCCTGCCTTTACAAGAAGTCTGACCAGGCCAAAAAGAAATTATCTGTTGGCAGAAAACCACAAAGCTGAGTATTGGGGGCCTCACAATGTAACTGTTTCTCTAAGTTGCTAACACAAGTTGCCAGACCTTGAATTCGCTGGTGAGTATTGGAACCGTGAGCTCACAGTCAGGAAGCCTGCCAGGTTTATAAAAGCAGAGGATTTTATGGACAGGCATTATGGTCCTGACGATTCCTTCTGGTTCTGTCTCTCCAGGATAGCCTTTTCCACCCAAAATACACTGGAGAAGACACTACCTGCACTGTGAAGACTCTCAAGAGAAGCACACAGTATAAATTCAGGGTGAGTTCCTAGCTGGCCCTCCTGCCTCAAGTTTCTTCTTTCCGTTCCAAAAACCTTCACCTCCACACGGATGCCTGAGCCTGAAAAATTTTTGGAAGTCATGTCACCCTTCTCCTCAGTAGGCTCCAATGACCCCCTATCACCTCCAGGACCAAACACAGACTATCACTTACCCGGCGGGGCCTATTTCTTGTCAACTCACAGGGTTCTTTGTCTACACCTCCTCCTCTCCACTCACATGGTCGCTGCTCTGGTGCCTGCAGGCCCTCATCACCTAGATAGTCACCAGTCACCAGGAAGCTGCTGGTTGTTCTCCATACTTCCTCCTCCAATCCATTATCCCCTCAGCTGCCATCGTGATTTCCCATAATGACCTTGTCACCCCTTACCCAGTACACTCTAGTGGCTTCCTAACTCTGGAACCAAAATGAAAAAGCTGCTCGGGCCAAAGCTGCCTACAACCTGGCCCCTTCCCATCTTTCCAGGGGTGATTAAACATCAGTCCCCCAAACCCTGCCCATCCCTCCGGCCCGGATCCTGCGCTTCCTGCCCGTCTTCGCACACAACACTTAGGTGGCGGTGATACTTTTTATAAACTGTTTGTTGTGCTCTTTTGTGGGGTCCTATCCCATGCATAAAAACGGGAAGGTGAACTTCCCAAGCCTCCCCAAGAGAACAACAGGATGAAAGTCAGAAACAAATGACCTCCGCCCCTCCAGACCTGAGAGTGTCCTAGAACTCTGGCCCTCATCCCTTTACCCCCTCATAGGCCTCTTTCCTTTTACCTTCCTCTCTTCTCTTCCTTCCTTCTTGCTTTTTTTTCTCTCCATGTTCCTCTTTCCCATTTTCTCACTTCTTTTTCTTCCTCACCTTTTCAAAAATTTCTGTCTTTTAGTTCTGCAGCCGATGGCACTTAGGGCCTGCTGTCTTTTGCCCTGATGATTGAGGGCAAAGCAGCTTTAAAGGTAGGGGTAGAAATTTGACCTTGAGTTCATTAATATGGAGAATGACATAAGAAAACTCCCCCCACCAATGCAGGTCGGTGCCTTCTCTGCAACTTCTGGTCTCAGGACCACTAGAATGAAATACAGGGTGGTGTTTGGCAGGAGAATAATGCAGTAAGGCTTAGATGCATCGATGACCTGGACGTCGGTGTTATCCAGTGGGGTTTATTGGGAGACAGCACTGTGGGCTGTCTTGGAGTGAGGGCCAGCCTTGGAGTCGGGAAGACCTGAGGTCGGGTCGTGTCTCTGACACTCACTGCCCCAAGCAACTGTTTCCAGCTTCTCATTAGAGAAGAGACAGATCAGTATCGGTGGGGAGAATTTTTTGCTGTCTAAACAAACGCCCTGGGTTTTTGCCACACTGATAGAACCAGGCCAAAAATAAAAAAATTACTGAATTTTCTTTTCTCCTTCTCTCCCTCTTCTTCCTCTATTCACTGTCCTATCATAGTGTTCTTCTGATAGCCAAGGATTTTTTGAATAAAAGAATGTTTGATGTTCAATTTTCAATATAATACTGTTCAGTATTCAGCATTTGAATATTGAGTGAAAGAATGTCCCCTTCTTGAGAGCAAGGACTGTTTCATTATTATCTGTACTCCTAGCTCCTGACACATAGTAGGTACTTATTAAATACTTGTTGATTGATTGATTTTTATCCTTCTTCCCTATGAGGTTTGGATGACTGCTCTATCTAAATGCATTTTATTTTTATTATTTTGGGGAAGAATTTGCACATACTTCTTAGCAATATAGGGAATACTTCATTTTCCACTGATTTCCCCACTGCCACAAAGGGACAGGGCTTTAATGTAAAAGTTTTCCCCAAACTTTAATATATGCTGCTGAACACCTACTTGTCCTATCACTCTCCTTCCACAAGATGGCACCACCAGCCCTTTCTTTTTGCTCAGTGGAAATTTCTCCCAAACTTTCCTCCCATCTCTTTTAATGATTGGGTGTTTCGATTGCTCTTTTGGCTTGGAATAACTCTTCCAGAACTTCCTTTCACAAATGAAATCACAGTATAAATGGACCTCAGTTCCTCAATTGGCTGTGATTATTTAGCAAGATTAGGAAACAAAGCACTTTAATGAGTAACAAAAAAAAAAAAAGCTCAGTACTTTGGTTCTCAAAACTGAAACTCTGTGAGCTCCTTCCTATGACAGTATAATAGTTAGGCTCGAGAGAATGACAATTTCAAAAGCATAGCCTAATTATGTTTTGGACAGTTCTGACAGAATGTAAGAGAATTGAACTCCCTGGACGTTTGTCCATTTTATGGTGAAACTGCCATTAGATTAGAGATAGAAGAGACCATACATATCAGCATAAGGTGTCTCCGTGTTAAGCCCCTGAGTGGGGTTTGGGGTACAGTGAGGTAGGTAGGTAGGAAGATGCTCCTAGGAGGATAGCCTCTACCTTTGACTTAATCAGTGTGTGGGGCAAGTCCCCATGTGGAAACTGATTCCATTTATGGATGTTTGCAACTGGTCTGCAGTGTAGAATCTTAAACATAGGGTGGTTACCCAGCCAGAATGGATCTGAGGCAGGAGTAGAACCCACAAAGTTACCCTCTCTGCTAAACCACACTTGTGATGGCAAATTCAGTAAGCTTTCTCCATCTTTCCCTAGTGGTTGAGAAGTCAGAAGGAACCACTTAGAGCTCTGTGGATTTTATCAGCCCATCGGGCCACACTCACTAAGGCATGTCCTAAGTGTTTCTAACCATTACGGTTTATGTGTCACATGACAGTCTTAAGTGGCTAATTCTAGCAATATAACCCACGATTGGTGCTCTCATAGATTTAGATCTGACAGTGACTGTAGGTCATTTTCATCATTATTGCTATCACTTATATAGTGCTTTAAGGTTTGCAAAGTGCAAATATTGTCGATGTTATCTCATTTGCACCTCAACGCAACCCTGGGGAGTAGGTGCTATTGTTATCTGAGTTTTACAGATGAGGAAACTGAGGCAAACACATTGAAGGACTTGCCCAGGGTCACACAGTTAGTAAGTGTCTGAATTTGAAATTAAGTCTTCCTCACTCCAGGTCTGTTGCCCCCTTATACAGATAAGAAAACTGAGGCCCTTAGTGATTATGTGATTTGTATCAGGGTGTACAGGTCAGTAAGGAGTTACAGCAACTCACATCCAAATTCAGACCTCTTTCCATTACGCCCCGGATTCCTTACAATTTATTTTGTGAGTGAGTGCCTGTGGCCTTGTCGTTCATTTGTCCTGGTTCTTTTATCTCAGCCATTGAAGTGACATAGCTGGTTTTATTCCCTGGGAATTCCTAGGTTTGACACTGATAATCTCTTTTTTTCTTTTCATTATTCTAGTTAATCGCTTCTAACATGGAAGGAAGAAGCTGTCCAAGTGAAGTTTTGGTTTGTACAACAAGTCCTGACAGACCAGGACCCCCGACTCGACCCTTCATTAAAGGGTTAATTACGCCTTACAGCTTTAGCGTAAAATGGGGTAGGTGATTTCTTTAAGAAATCTATTGTAAAATTACTTATTTCACAGCTGGAGTTCATTCTGGCTTCAATGGTGACACCTACTGGCGGGACAAGATATTACACCTCCATTCGGTCTTTGTAAACTCTAGGCACAGTTTGAATGTGAATATTTATTGATGCACGTGTTTATTCACCTACACCTCTACAAGAAAACTGATGAGCATTTGTGATTTTCTTGTAGCCAGACCTGTGATTTCCCAAGTTTAGGGAGCTCCTGGTGAGTGACTGCCTTTGCCAATACAGAATAGCGCCTTGTGATTGCCTTGAAAAAAAAAACCAAAACACTTTATTGATGTGGAGGGACATGAATTTCAACTGAACCACGTAGATAAGTGGAAGTTAATGTATACCTGGATACTCCCCTGGAAGATGTCTAGAACAATTGAAAATGTGCAGGGGTGGGGAAATGAATAGGTGGTGATGTTAACATCTTTGGTCTTTATCAGTAATAATGTCAACTCACATTTCTTTAGGGTATAGCAGCTAAGTTACAGTTGAGGAAACTAAGGCTTATAAAGGTTAAGTGACTTGCCCAACACACAGTTGGTAAAGTGCCTGAGTCCAGATTTGAACTCAGACCTTCCTGACTTTAAGAGCTATATGCGAAGGAGAATTCTACATAGGAATCTCTCCTGTAAAGAAAATCTCACTAGAAAGAAAACATGTGTTCCTGTTAAGGAACTATACCTTCAGAAGCATTAGTAATCAATCAGTCAATGAGTAAACATTAATTAATCACCTTCTGTGTGCTAGGCACTGTGCTAAGCACTAAGGATACAAAAAGAGGAAAAAGACAATCCCTGCCTTCAAGGAGCTTACAGTCTAACGGTAGGGACAGCAAGCAAACAGACATACACAAATAAACTGTATACAGGAAATAATGAAGGCACTAGAATTAAGGGGTTGGGGAAGGCTTCCTGTAGAAGGTGGGATTTTAGCAAGCCTTAGAGGAAGTCAGGGACGTCAGTAATCAGCGCAGGAGGTAAAGTGTTCCAGACATGGAGGACAGTCAGAAAGCCAAAAGATAGAATGTCTTATTGTGCTAAACACCCAAGATGCCCCAGGGCTAGGTTCCAACCACAGATTTCCCCCTTAGTAAATTGTTTCCAATATCCCCTTTCTTTCCCCCCCAAAAAAAATGTTCGTCCTTGTTGACTTGGGAAAATGACATAGCGACAATTGTACAAATAAAACAAAATCTTTCATCTACAACTAATGAGATATTTGCTCATGTTTCAGATCCTCCTAAGGATAATGGCGGTTCTGAAATCCTTAAGTACTTACTGGAGATCTCAGAGGGACATTCAGAAGGTAAAGTTAATTGAGTTAAAAACAACTGGTATTTATTAAGCACCCACTGTGTTGCAAGCCACTCAGTGAGGCACCCACTCTACAAAGACAGAAATAAAATGGTACCTCGACTCAGTGATACCATTCTGACATTGTTCTTAGAAAGAACATCTCTGGTATCTTCCCTATGGCTCCATTCACCATCCCTGCGACTCCCCAAATGCCCCCTTCTTGGCCACCAGTACTCTTATGTGCATTAACTACCCATGTTAGAATGTAAAGGAGTATCTGTTAACCTTTTATTTTTCCCCAAAGTACCTCATTGAGGAGGCTTAAAGGGAGGCTGGGAGGAGATTATTTGGGCTCCTTACCATCACTTCAGCCCTGTATGAAACCACCCCATCTCTTGGATGGAAAGCTTCTAGTAGGCCTGGACCTTTTGGAGCAGAGAAATGAGCCTTATTTCAGTTGGCTGGTTGGTTTCTTTCTTCTTGTTTTCCTTTTTCGGTTGAAGTATATTTCTTTCTTTCTTTCTTTCTTTCTTTCTTTCTTTCTTTCTTTCTTTCTTTCTTTCTTTCTTTCTTTCTTTCTTTTTTTTAGACCTATCTTTCCTTATATTTCATGGGCTAAACATGCAGGGGCTACTGTGGGCCTGATCCCACTGTTGGTGGGCATGGAAATTCGGACCTGCTTTGTTTTCCAACCTGAATCAATTTACTCCTCCTTAGGCAGCCTGAGGATTCCTGGGGACTCAACCTTATTAGTGCAGTAACCTCATTGGCTTTTGCCCTATTGCATCTCAGAACAGCCTTGGCTTCCCCCAAGCAGGGATCATAAGCATGCACCACTATGCCCAGCTGGACTTGACTTCATGATAATAGCAAAAGAATTCTGTGGAATTGAAAGAATATCGCAGACTCTGTTCAAAGCTTAATTTCCTTTTTTAATAAGAAAACTTACCTGGATTTCTGAATCTTCACATTTTCTGAAAAACCCCATATGTGGCAGGGTCACTTAAGCATGGCAAAATGTTCTAGAGGAAATAATGAATGTATAGAATCTATAGCTCAAATATTGACAGTCTATTTGTGTTTCACAATCTCTAATAAAACTCATTGGAAGTCGTTGGGTGTTTAAAATTTAAAGACTTTCCCAGTGGGTAATGAAGTGAAGGGTTAAATAATTATCTAGCAAATCCATTTGGTATACTAGCTCATTTGGATTATATTCTCTTGCCACCATCCCAATCTTCTTATTCCTATATAATAATAATGGCTTAAGGTATTATACTTCCCAGGAGTATTTTCATTTTAAAAGAGGACAATGCTTTGTCCGAAGAATTGACTCTTTAATGGTGGAATTTTCAACATTGTGGAGCCCGCACAGAAGACAGACCATTTTGACACATTCTAAACATAGGAAAAAAAGAGCTTCTTGGCCCACCTGCAATTAGCCCATATAGTTTCATCTTGTAGGATCCTAGATCCAAGGTTGGAAAGGACTTTAGAGATGTACAGTTCAACCCTCTTGATTTACACCTGAGGGTAAAGAGAGGAGCTATGACTTCCCTGAGTTCAGAGAGGGAGTAAACACCATAGACGATGTCAGAACTCAGGTTTCTGCCTACTCAGAAGGCCAATTCGAACCACAAGGAGTTCTAGGTGGAGACTTGGTTTCTATCACTGTTTTAGTATTTTTTTTGTTTTTCTTCTCTTCTGACTCCATAATCACTTATTTCTTAGGCTTCTCAGTTACCCAAGGTTAATTCCATGGGAATTCAATGGCTCTCAAAATACAACTATGTAAGTGCTAATTATTGCACTCAACATAATTAAGTAATTAAAATGATACTATTTTTTTAAAAGCTAAAAAAATAGAAATTTAAAAGTAGAGCATGTTGTCAGCCCTCTTATCAGATAGGAAGCCCAGCCTAATTTAAAAGGAAAACACAAACAGGTAAAGGTATTCCCACCAAACAGGTAAAGGTGAATCCCTTTTTATCTTTGCATATACCTGGTTTCCTGAAGGAGTCAGTAATGTGTTGACCACTCATCATGTCAATCTTCTGTTATAGCAAACCAATGGGATGTGGCGTATAGCGGCTCCACTACGGAATATACCCTTACTCACTTGAAGCCAGGCACTTTGTATAAACTCCGGACATGCTGCATCAGCACTGGTGGACACAGTCAGGTGGGTGGCGTGTTTCAAGAGGGAAAAAGTTAAGAATTTTGTCTTTAATCCCATTTTGATGAGCCTTCTCTGTGTCCTCTTGATTAAATTCCCAGTTTGGCTCTTTTAAAAGTCATGTACTTTGATGAGAAGTACCTCACACGCTATTCATTTGGGCCCAGAGAGCAGAATTTCTGAAAATGTTCTTTGGTTTTGAAGTGTTTAGAACTGCACATGAACAATGATTCTCATCTGGTAGAGCTGATGGTATATTCATTCCTTAAAAGATGCTGAATCATACTTTTTACAAAAGTTACTCTGGCTAATACTAACAGTAACCAGATAAGATGGATATTTCCAATGTCCTTTGCTTAATGTTCAAATAGGTAGAGAATAGACATAAAAATTACAACATTGTTGAAGGAATTATGCTTTAAAATTTCACAGACTTGTCTCTGTTGAGTTAATGACTTTTGCCGTTAGGGAGAAGGGATTGAAAAAGAGAATATTTGAGATGTTTTTTTCCTACTCAAGGGGTACTCATCAGTCGGTCAGCAGTCATTAATGAAGTACTTACTATGTACCAGGCACTGTGCTAAGTGCTCAGGATACAAAAAAAAAAAAAGGCAAAAACTTGGCCCTGCCGTCAAGGAGCTTACATTCTAACAGGGAAGAAAACCTAGAGTGTAAATGGAGGTGACCTCACAGGGAAAACACTGTGTGCAAGGCAGGGATGGGGAAGGAGATTGGGCCAGACCAGGAAAGGCCTCATACAGAAGATAGAATTTGAGCTCAGTCTTGAGAAAAGCCAGGAGGTAGAGATGAAGAGGGAGGAGTGTTCCAGACATGGGGCCAGCCAGTGTACACGTCCAGAGTTGAGAGATAGAGTGTTGTAGACCAGTACAGCCAGATTATAGAGTGTGTGAAAGGTGAAATAAATATAAGAAGATGGAAGAGGTAGGAAGGGGCCAAGTTATAAAGGGCTTTAAAGAGCTTCTATTAGGGAGAAACTAGAGTTTATTGAAGGACCAGCTTTAAAAAAATCCCTTTGGCAGGGAAGGGGATGAATTGGGGTGATGAGGGCCTTGAAGCAAGACCAGCCAGAAGGCTATTGTAGTGGTCCAGAAAAAGTTGATAAAAGACTATACCAAGGTGGTGGTTGTGGTCATGTGGGAAGGAAAGAAGGAAGGGAGGGAAGGAGGGACAGAGTTATTAAGTGCCTACCAGGCACAGTGCTAAGCGCTTTACAAATATCTCATTTGACAATGTGTAAAGAAATGGGGATGATGTAGAAATAGGAGATGTTGTAAAGGTAAGAACAGTAAGACGTGGCAGCTGATTGAATGTGTTGGAAGAGAGTGAGGAGTTGGGGATGATACCAAGGGTGGACACAAGCCTGGCCAGCTAGAAGGTGAGATTCAGTTTTATGTCGCTCTTTCCCCTTCTCGATTTTATATATTTTCATTTCCCTCAAGTGTATGGCCACAGTTGGAACAAAGATTCTTTTCCAAACAATTTCCAAATGGAAAGAAAACAAGAAAGGTGATTCTTATATTGTAGCATCTCTCATTTCTTTCAGAGTGAAATTCAAACAAAATCAATGGATATGCATTGAGCGCCTTCTATGGGCAGGGTCCAGTGCCGGGCTGCAGAAATGCTTTTGTTTGGCCTTGTATAAAACCTTAATTGTGTATCAGTTAAAGAACAGCATAACTCTCTCTGTCTTTACCCTATCCCAGTTCCTTTATCGATCACCTTTTATAAAGGAAAAGATCAATTTTTCTATCAATGTTATAATGTCAACTGTAGCTAGATAATGTCGGCATTATCCTAAGTACCATCTTTAGTCCTATTCTATGCCTATTTATGGTCTGTGTGAGGGCTATTAACCGAATATTTAAAGAAAAAAATAACTCCAGAAGAAATGGTTTAATTGTAAATAGTAAACTTGGCTGGGCTATTGGGACCTTCTCTTCTGTCACAGTGAAGAGTCTTTCTAATTTTGAGTTTAGTAAAAATAAATTTGTGTTTAGGGTATGAGCACTTAACCAACGTATGTTTTCCAAATTGGCTTCAGAAATTGTTCATTCTGTTTGGAGCAGCTGCCCCGTGCCTCTTATTGACTCCTTGAACAGATTCAGAAATGACTTGCTGTGAAAAAATCAGCCCATGTTTGTCTTTGTCATATGCTCCATGCGGAACACGCTGTTTGGAGTGTTTACGTTATAGAATTACCTCTTCTGTATCGTTTTGGTGAGAGATGAAGAGACTGTCCTCCCTTTTCCCCACAGTGTTCCGACAGTCTGCCCGTCCGTACACTCAGTGTTGCACCAGGCCAGTGTCGACCCCCAAGGGTCTTGGGGAAAGCAAAGCACAAAGAAATACATCTACAATGGGGTAAGTCATCAACAAGGGGCATTGTTGTCTTGGGGCAATTAAAGACTTTTCTAGCCAGTAGTTTGAAGGTCAAAGGATTGTTAGGGGGGATTTTTAAGGGTTGCTTCCCATTTTTAGTTGTGAAAAACTCAAACTCGCAATAATGCAAGTGTTCTGATAGGAAAACCATTTGTTAGTCTTTGTATGTGTAACTGCTTGTGGGGGTGGAGTAGGGGTGGAAGGTGTAGCCCTGGTGGTCCATGTCAGGTGATAGTTGGATCAAACCTCCATGTTGATTCTTGTCCCTTCTCATTTTTGTGACATCTTGGAGTGAGCTGTGATATCTATGTGCCTGTTTTTAAATTTGGATATGACTTCTCCATCATCACCCGCACCAAGTGCTTGGAGGTTCGTAAGCCACACTTCCATGGAGCTGTCCATTCTGGTCTTCTCCCAGGTTGGGAGGTATCCAAATGGAATGAAAATCAGATTCATTGAGAACCTCTTATGTAAAAGGCCCTTGTCTAGCCTTGTCCTTGCCCAACCCTACTCCTCAGTGACATAAGCTGTGTCTTTAGACATTCAAGCCCGTCAGGCGCCTGCTGTGCATCAGTTAAGCCCATGACTGAGCCCCTCCTGTGGGCCATGCATTGTTCTAGGCTCAAGAGATAGAAAGACAAAAACAGTAATGATCCCTGCTCTCAAGGAGCTTACATTCTGCTGGGCGTGTTCATATTATAGTAAAAAAAAAAGTCCTAATGAGTACTGATATCAAAGCCTGTTCAGCCTATTCCCTGCCCTTCTCTCCAAAAAAGAGAGAGAGACTAAGTCAGTGAAATTCTTCAAGTAGGGTTCAGGTCACCATCAGGAGAGTTATCGAGATACGGAGTCAAGGGACGTCCAAGATCAGTTGGTCAGCAAACATTTATTAAACATCTGCTATGTGCCAGGTAACATTAGGCACTAAGGAAAGTATAATCCTTGCTTACACTCTGACAGTAGAGTCTTCATGCACCCTTCTATTTATGCCCGTAGTTCACACAGTAGGCACTTAATGCCTGCTGATCGATCCATCATACCATTTGGGGAACGTTGAACTTCTGAACTGTCCGCACAATGCTGCTTTTACAAATGGGATTGAAGATGGAAATCCTATTTTTTTGAAAGGTTATGCTAAAACATCCAATGTGATTAAGTTAACTAGAGGAATAAGAGTGTCCTATGGGAGGGAAAATGTCTGTCTTCCCAGATGTTCCTTCATCAGAAAGTGGCTGTGAGGTCTCCAAGTACAGCGTAGAGATGACTGACCCTGAAGATGTTGCTTCTGAGGTGTATCATGGGCCTGATTCAGAATGTACGGTTGGAAATCTTCTCCCTGGAACTACCTATCATTTCAGGTTGAGAGCCTTGAATGATGGAGGGGTAAGTTGAATATCCTACAGTCTATTTGTACTATTAATATCGTGTGCTCAATGACCTTGATCAAGTCACCAAACCTCCCTGGGCCTCACTTTCTTCCTCTGTAAATGAGAAGGCTGGAGCAGATGGCCTAAGGCCATCTTCAGGTTCTAGGTCTGTTGTCTTGTGATTTCCGAGAAGTCTTGTAATCGCAACCTCAGAAGCTTCTTCTTTGATTAAGCCTTGAATCATTCTTGTTTTAAGGACAACATAACATCGTTAGACCTTCTAAATTCTTTAACGTTTCTCAAAGGTGTTTCCTAAACATTGCCTTGTTTGGGCCTCCTTGGCAATATTCCCAACTGTTCTAGAAAAGTCAGGCCAACAACCTAACAATACAATTAAAGAACCTTTTTTTTCTCCCCATATTTTCAATAGTTTCAGCAAATGATTCCCTTGCCCCAAGACAATTTACCCAAATTCTTGAGGAGCATCCCAATCTTCCCACCATATTAAGGCTATGTTAGCTATGTCAGAGACTGGGGCTAAGACCCTTCACTATGTCCTGTACCAAGGCTAATTTTTTTTTCCTTTGGAAAGGCATCCAAGGCATGATGGTCTTCATTTTTGAGAACAGAAGGACAAGTTTTGTTAACCCCCTAATTCATTTTGTGCATTATAAATAAATGCATTCTTGTGTTGTTTTAAAGATAAGATTCTCAGCAGTACAACCACCAGTTCAAAGCATTACTCATCTGCTGACTGAATGGACGGTGCCTATTCCCAAGAAATACATTAAATTGCTGGTCGCTAGCTGCCCTGAGCAGCAGGGTCACTAGGAACCATTGCAATAATAGGAAACTTTAAATAATTCAGAAAATGGGCACATTACTGCAAAATCTCTCTATGGACATTAGTTTTGAAATTGGAAATACCCAGAATTAGATTTCTGAGAGTTTTCATATTCATTAAAAATTAAACATCCATTAGTATCTGTGTCTGTTTTTATTGGCATCCTCCGAGGAATATTCAAGCAGATTTTTTAGCCAAACAGCCAGCTGAAAAGTGAACGTGTCATTCAGTTGTATTAGGTCCATTTGAAATTTTGTCTCTAAACCAAGCTGCTTTTCTAGTATCTTATTAAGGGAGACATTAAGAAACAGGTTTCTATTGTATCCTCAAATATGCTTGTTGGAGCTTTAGAAATGTATCAAAGAGGTGGACGTGCATGGGCCCAAATAAACTAGGACCCTACTGTAAGTATCCTGGCTTAAGAATCCACAACTGGCTGACATTGAAATTAACTAGATACTGTGGACATTAGACAAGACATTTGGGTTTTACATGCCTTTTCACTGCAGGGTTCCAAGTGACTATCCATGTCATGTCTCCGATAAAGAGCTGCAGATTGTTTTTTGAAAGAATAGACCGAGACAAAGGAGTATTGTTTCAACATAGGCACTGTTATCGTGGGTATGGTGATTTCTCCAGTAGAGTTGTGCAGTTTTTTTCCTCAGGGTGAGAAACAAAAATTCCCCCTTTCCTTCTGAAGGGAAGCGTTACTGACTCCTCACTGAAAGCCTCACACATTCTTTAGGGTTTTCTTTTCCTCTCTGCTTCCCTCACATTCGCTCTTTGTCTTCCATTTGGAAGATTCTCCCTCTGTCTCCTCTTTGGCCTCCTGTTCCCAGGCTGCCTCTTGAGATCCATGTTGGCCACCGTCCAGAGAGCCGGGGGAGTGGCCTGTGGGAGAGAGGGAAGTAATTCTTACTTTTCCAATGACCTCTGCCCAGAGGTCTGAATATCCATTTTGACTCCTAGCTGAATTTGGATCAGATGAACCAGATCCGAGTGGATTTACAAGTCTTGGTCACTCTCAAAAGACTTTTCCATTATGGCTCTGTGCTTCCAAAGATGTTACAGGTAGATTCTTAGAGTTTGCATTCACTGCTTGCCAGGTTGTTGCAGGTACACCTTTTTTCCTATGATCTTGACATAATCCAGGTTTGTCAGTCACGCTATGCCTTCAAAACATGCCAGTATTTACATATGTGTGTATGTGTGCTTCTTTTTCTAGTATGGTCCTTATTCTGAGGCATCAGAAATCACCACCGCAGCAGGGCCCCCTGGGCAATGCCGAGCACCTTGTATTTCCTTTACGCCTGATTCAGGTGTCCTAGTAAGTTGGGAGGTAAGCCAATACCCCATTGGAACCCAGTTTCTGTTTTCTATGTTGCCTACACCCCAAATGTACACAATCAGGATGCATTAAGAGCTAATGCAAAACGGGCTCAAATCTCACTAGCTGTGTGACCTTTGGTAAATCACTTAACCTTTTCAGGCCTCAGTTTCCTCATTTGTAAAATCAGGGGTAGGACCTCTGAGGTCTTTTCCAGAGGCAAATCTATTATCCTATGATTTATTTGTTCACCGTTTCTCATCCTGAAAACTTTAAAGAGTTTCTTAACAGTTTCTGAGATAATTTCAAGTTGTGATTGCTTTTTGCTGTTCAAAAAAACCAGAGAATTAGAACTCCTCTTTTGAATTAATTTTTGAATATATCAGTTTTATGTGTGGTGAAGTGGTATCTTCATTCAGTCCGTATGCATTTATTAAGCACTTCTTACAAGTATTTATGAAGCACTTGCTGTGTGTCGGGAGCTGGAGTTACCAAAAAAAGTCCCTTCCCTGAAGGAACTCACATTCTAATTTCTTCAGAATGTTTGCAGAAGGATCCTTAAGCCGTGCAAAGAGAAGGGAATGGCGGGAGGGGGTGTAGAGGGGGGTCATGTAACATGAAATTATTACTGGATTGTCATTGTTATTGAGTGCTAGGAGCCTGAAGATCGTCCCTATGTGTTGGATGTTACTTCCTCGTCTGTCTCAGTCTTATCCCATAGCTTTATCATATGATCTGCCTCCTTTCATCTTCAATCCTAAATTCTCTTTAAAATGAGTATGTCAGCTTACAAGTTGAAAGGCCCTGGATGGGTACAGTTTGTTGTTATTGTTGTTTTGGCTTTTTTTTAACATCTCACAGGATTCCCAAATAAATCTCAAGCCAAGGAATACCCCCTTGCTCTCTCCTTCCCCCCCCCCATGATGGGTTTAGCCAGTCCAGTGTAAACAAAACAAGACTTGATTTTAAACGCAGTTACTTACCGGTGAAATGTCCTCTTTTCCAGAGCCCTGAAATCTCTGGTGCTGACATCTCAGAATACAGATTGGAATGGGGAGAGGACGAAGAATCCCTAGAACCCGTGTATCATGGGACAGAGACAAGTTTTGAAATAAAGGAATTGTTGCCTGCGGCACATTACTGCTGTCGACTGCAGGTAAGTCATTCTCCTCTTGCTCAAAATGCAGAAGAACTTCTTAATATTTTAAGGAAGGGGACGCCTCAGTGGGTGGTAAATATTCCATGATTAGAAGTGATTGAGCAGAAGGCGAACGCAGGGGAAGGAAAGGGGAAAGGAATAAGCATTTATTAAGTGCTTACTCTATGTCAGGCAAGGGGCAGCTAGGTGGTGCAGTGACCAGACCTGGAGTCTGGAGAACCTGAGTTCAGATCCTGCCTCAGGTGCTTACTAACTGTGTGACCCTGGGCAAGTCACTTCACCCTGTTTGCTTCAGTTTCCTCACCTGTCAAATGAGCTGGAGAAGGAAATGGCAAACCACTCCAGTATCTTTGCCGAGAAAACCTCAAATTGCGTCAAGAATAGTTAGACGTAAACAAAGGTGTCCATTATCACCACCGTTGTTCAATATGGTACTAGAACATTAGCTTTAGCAATAAGAGAAGAAAAAGAAATTGAAGGTATTAGAATGGGCAAAGAAGAAACAAAGCCATCACTCTTCGCAGATGATATGATGATATACTGAGAGAGTCCCAGAGAATCAAGTAAAAAAACTACTCGAAATAATAAACAATTTTAGCAGAGTTGCAGGCTATAAAATAAACCCACAAAAATCTTCGGTATTTCTATATATTACCAACAAAACCCAACAGGAAGAGATAGAAAGAGAAATTCCATTTAAAGTTACTGTAGACGTAAAATATTTAGGAGTCTACCTGCCAAAAAGAATAGTCAGATGCGACTGAACAGAAACTTGTGCTCAGCACTTTAAAATTATCATCTCCCTTCCTTGATCCAAACAACAACCCTGTGAGGTCGATGTTATTATTATCCCCATTTTGCAGTTAAGGAAACTGAGTCAGACAGAGGTTAAGTGACTACCCAGAATCACACAGCCATGTAAGTGTCTGAGGCCAGATTTACACAACACACTTTCGAGTTTAATCTGAATTATTACCGTTTTTTTCCGTCACTTTCCCAGTAAAACTAAGTAATAAATAAAACAGTAAATCAAGCCCTGATTGAGAGCATTTACCAACTATCAAGGAATAAATGCTCATGCTGAAAATTAAACATTTGGCTATTCCAGACCAGTGTGCACTGACTCCAGTGGCCCCCTCATTCTGATCCTACCTCCACTTTTGTAAACCTTCTAGTGCAATGGAAAAGGGACTTGCTATTATAAGTTCTTTTTTAGTCATATAAGACTCTTCGTGACCCCTTTTATGGTTTTCTCAGCAAAGATACTGGAGTGGTTTGTCATTTCCTTCTGTAGCTTATTTTACAGATGAGTAAACTGAGGCAAATAGTATTAGGTGACTTGCCCAGGGTCACACAGCTGGTAAGTAGTGTCTGAGGCTGGATTTGAACTCATAAAGATGAGTCATCCCGACTCCAGGCCTAGCACCCTCTGCCTTATATGACCACCTAGCTGTCCCCATTTTAAGTTATTACTATCTGTTGTATTTCCATATCACTTTAAGGTGGATGGAGCACTTCCCTCACACTAATTCTATGAGATAAGTAAAATAGATTTTATTGTCCTTATTTTATAGACGAAGCAAGTACGGCTCAGGAAGGCCAAAGAACTTGTCCATAGTAACATAGTAAGTGTCAGAGGCAGGTCTCCTGACTCTAGTACCATGCTGCTTTCCTCCCGACTCTATGTATTGCCACTGTGTCACAGTGATGTCGTTATTCCACTGATGGAGGTAATGTGGTGTGGTTCATAATGCACTGCGTCTGCAGTCGGGAAGGTCTGGATTCCGATCCTGCTTCTGACGCTCACCAGCTTTGTGACCCTGGGCAGGTCACTATGTGAACCATGCAACTCCCAAGGATTTACCTCCTAAGTCCTGTTATCCATGGGATGGAGAAGCAATGCATCGAAATATACTTCCCTGGACATCCCCTTCTCTTCCCCTACCCTGCTTCCTGAGCATAGTTGCCCCCTTCTGTACCTGGTGTTTTCAAGAAATGAAACGTTCTCCAAAACCAGATTCTCCGTAGAACTAAAGCTGACCCCTTGAAGGACCATGCATGACCTTAGTTGATTTTCACTATTTTTTCATTACTAAAATAAATCCTATGGCTTCCCTGCCTCCTTAACAGAGAGAACTGAATGTGTTTTGACCTTTTCTTGATGATTCGGGGCCATTATCATATGCAGCGTTTTAGATGCTATTTCTATCTATAACAGGGACTTGTGATTTCATTGCTAGAGGGAACTCTCAGGTAAGAACTCCACCCTCCCATGTACCTGGTTCTGACACCGAGAGTCTTAGAGCGATGCCCAGAGCACTCAGGTTAAATCACGTGCCCAGAGTCACACACCCTGAACTCACTGAAGGCAGGATATGAACCCGGATCTTACTGGTTCTGAGGTTGATTCCCTAACCACTTTATCACTGCCTTTTACACACTCTTATGTTGGTATGGTATGACATGGTACGATATCACAGTGATACCCACAAAGGCTATTGAGATGGGTATAAGTAGTCCATGCACTAAACAGCTATAGATGCTGGGCTTTGGGGAGTTGTATTTCCAATTGCCAGTGGTCCCTTCTTTTAGTAGCACCCTCCATCCCTTCTAAGCTGCCACTCCACAATCAGTCAGTAAGCATTTATTAAGCACCTAGTATGTGCCAGGCACTCTGGATACCAGTGTAAAAAAAGAAAGACTACCCCTACCCTCAAGTTGCTTCTAGTCAAATAGAAGAAGACAGCAGACAAGAGGAACTTTAGACTTAAGAGCCAAAGAGCTAAGATTGTTAGAATAATGCAGAGGATAAGAGAATGATGATCCAGACTCGTGTTCATGGCTTTCTCTGCCTAGATGCCTGGGCTGGAGGTGTTGAGACCTATCCTTTCATCTGTGGGAATCACTCCGCTGATGCCAGCTGGCAGCTCTTCTGTGTCTTAGAGCCTTAGAACGTGGCCTCGGGGATCTAGCTATGTTGGTGGCTTTCTGTCTCCAAGGCTGCTCAGCCTTGGGGTTGGTGGCAGCTTCATGGGCCCTTAGATTTAGGCCAGGAAGGGACTGTGGGGATCTCATCCAGCCCCCTCATGTTGCAGAGGAGCAAGCACTAGCCTCGTGCAGTTAAGTGACTTCCAGAAAGGTATTGAATAGTAAAGACAGACCTTCCTTAAACACAGGGTCTCTAGCTCTGTATCTTCCCAGTATTGGATACCTAGAGGCCTTTTGTGTGTGTGTGTGTTTGTTAGTTTGGGGCTCTGGGCAGTGGAGGTTGCTAGATGAGTAAATAAATTATATTTTTGACTATGAGATGTCTGGTTTGAAATGTTTCAGCACTTTATGGGGTTAAAATGTCCCGTTTAGTAAACACTTCTGCAACCTATGTGTGTGTATATTTATATACTACCACCAGGTGGTGATAATGAGTCATGGTCACAAAGACCATGGACAAGATATGGCCTTCATTGAAGCCCTCCCCACCCCCACCCCAAAGTAGATTTCTTACAAAGCCTAAAGAGTCCACAGAAGGGATCTAGCCTCTAGCACCTGCCACATAACTTCATGGATGAAGAAATGTGACCCAGCTATGAAGAAACCATTCTTTTATTGCAAAAGCATAGACACTTTCTACCAAACCACATTATGAAGGAATGAATGAATGAAAAGCATTTATTAAACCATGACGATGTGCCAAGCACGGTGTAAATGCTGGAGATATAAACACAAAAGCAAAGGTAGTCTCTGCCCTCAAGTAACTTATGAGGGGAGCGGTGACCAAAGGGGGTCATTTTGGTTTGGAGAGTTATAAGGATGGTGAGTGGAGCCCAGAGAGAGTAGATTGATTCACTTTTTCCAGGAGCGGTGGTGGTGTTGACTTAATCATGGTTCCAGGACTAGAAAGTGAGTGTGGAGGGAGGTAGGGGGGAGGAGGGGACCAGGGAAGACCATCTACCCAAGGCAGCTGAAGATGGCCTCAGTTGAATCATAACTGAAGATGCTAGGATGTATTCACCAATCAGGACATCAGAGGTCCAAGTGGCTGGTAAGAAAATAGCCAGGAGATGAATAGTCCCATGAATGGAGGCAGCCACGTGATATGAGGTGGGCCACGTGAGCCCATCGCCAATCAGGAAGCAGCTAAACTTGAATGAATATTAAGTAATTGCCTGGAGTGGAACAGCCGTGTACATGAAAGTGAGGAATGCATCAGAACATACCCCTCCACTCTCTTCAGTTTCCTTGGGCATTTCTGCCCATGATGGGGGTCATCCCCCAGCTCAGTCCTTAGTGCAGACCTGAAGAAGCCTTGTTAAGTAAGGGCTTTACCCTTCCCCTAGCAAGGGAACCTGGACCAGAAGAAATTAGTAATAGGAAAAAGATTTTCCTGAATAAGTTTGTGACTTTAAAATGATATTGAAAACAGACACGAGATCTATCCATAAAATATATCACATTTGACAATATATAACAACCTTAAATTCAATGGTTCTTTTTAATATTTAGTGTCCTTATGATGGGTCAAAAGACCTCGTATGTCATGTAAAGTAAAATTATTATTTATACTATATTATATATTATATTAGTAGATTCTTTTAATAGGCCTTTCATCCAGGGGTTTAGAAACACTTTGAAGGGGCAGCTAGGTGGCACGGTGGATAGAGCACCAGCCCTGAAGTCAGGAGGACCTGAGTTCAAATGTGGCCTCAGAATAAACACTTGACACTTACTAGCTATGTGACTCTAGGCAAGTCACTTAACTCCAACTGCCTAAACAAACAAAAAAAAAAAAACACTTTGATGTGGTCAGTCTTATTTGTCCTCAAGAAATCTCTGGGTAGTCGATGAAAACATAAATCATTCCTCTAGATTTTAAAATGAAACTAGAACCCAGATATTTTTTGAGCTGGAATGGACTTTTTGGAGTCCCCTCCTCATTTTAGAAATGAGGACCCTGAGGCCCAGGCAGGTGTCTGTATCTCCCAGCCTCTAACACAGTGTCTGGCACCCAGTAGGTGCTTAATTAAAACACCTAATTAATTAAGCACTTAATTTAAAAATAGGTACTTAATAAATGCTTGTTGAACTGAAACAGAGTCGGGATTCTGATCTCAGGTCCCCTGACTCCAAATCCAGTATTCTTTTCACTGTGTCACATTTCACCCCCACATTGGCATAAGAAGGATATGCAAGAAATGATGGACTCTTAGACATCTCCTTGTCTAGTGCCCTGATTTCACAGGTGAATCTGAAGTCAAAGGTCACACAGTGGGTGGCCAAGCCCACCTGCCTCTTCTGCCTCCTAGACCAGTATCCCACAATCCCGCCCAGTTTTATCCTACATGTTTGTGATAGATACACAGTTTATTTTTTTTATTTCAACAAGTTTATGATTTATTTTTAACATTTTTCAGTTCCAGATTCTCTTCCCCCCCCCCCCGATTGAGAAGGCAAGCAATGTGATCTCAGTTATACGTGTGAAATCATGCAAAACATATTTTCATATTTGCCGTGTATGCACAGACTTTAGCTGTACACCCCCACCAAAAAAGCGCAGTGTCTTTTCAGCCTCGTACGGCCCCCTCCCCTTCTTGGCATCCCTAGCTCCAGGCACCCCCGTGTCTCTGAGCTCAAGGTTCAGCTCCAATGCTACCTTCCTGCTGAGTCCTTTCTTGGTCCCTTTAACAGTTAGTGACTCCCCGTCCCTCTCAGGAATTTGTATTAGACATCTATTTTGTGTTACATATCCCTGTACATATTGTTTCCCCCAAGGAGAGTGGAATCACCTTGAAGGGAGGGATTTTTCTCTGTGTACCTAACACGTGGCACATAGTAAGTGCTTAAGAAATGCCTTACTTATTTTCGTTCGCTGAATTGCATTCTTATTTCTTTCTCAAAAATGAGAGCAAAATACTATTTTTAAAAAATAAGAATTCTAGAATCTGACTTGTAAGGGACCATAGAGGCTTCCTGGTCCAATCCTGGCTATAACAAAAATCTCCTTTACAGTGGACCCAACAAGTGGTCAGATAGCCCTCCCCCCATCCCCTCCCGGGATGAAACGTACTCTACTTTTGGACAGCACTAAGTGACGATTGATATTCATATTTGTTCCATATGCATCCCCGAGTGGAACCAGAAGCTAATAATAACCCTTGGTACATTCTGAAACCTTGGGTCGGGCTTACCAAAAGCCCTGTTTTCTTTGGATGCTGCTTGTTTTGCAATGTGTTCGAATATGATAGGAACTCGCTGAGTATACGCAGTAACATTTCAGAGCGTTTCTGGTGGTTTCTTTTGGTCTGTTTCTCAATCTGGGACATGCTGGTGGAAATGGGGATGGTTTCCTGGCTGGTCCACATCCAAGGCCTCTTTCAAAAGGTGGCTCACTGGTTGATGGAGTGGCGCTGTATTTCTGATGTTAGCATCGTTGAAGAATGTGTCTCATGGAGGACTTAGGGAAGGATGCTTTTGCAGGCTGGTGTACGTTTAGGCTTTTTTTTTCTTGAGCTACTCTCCAAGAAGCATCAGAACCAGATATGGGAGAATTGGAATAAAGTACCCTACTCCTGCCATCAACTCCCATTCAAGGTTTCTAGCAAGTATTTTAGATTAGTTTAAAAGCCAATAGCACTCTCAGGCAACTTAATTTTTTTTTTTACAAGTAACTTATTGTGAAATTAACTTTCTGTTTAAATGTATAGCTTAAATTAAAAATATAATTAATTACATTTTTCTAAGGACTTTCTACATCCATCTATGATGCCTTATTTGTTACTCCTCTCTTATTATTATTTTTATTTTACTCTATCCCCTTTGTCCATTTCTCTGTATTTGTGTATGACTTTTCATCTTATCTAGTCATTCCCAGGGTGCATGCAGATCAGTTACCAAGACAGATTTCACCTCATGCTCTTAAATCCTGTCCAAAAAGGCCTTAACATTCCAGGCTGATCCCCGCATGCTAAAATGTCCTATCTTCACCCCTGATTCTTGGAAGCCCTATCTCCTTTCAAGTCTTATCTCAGTTACCACCTCTTTCAAGAAGCCTTTCTTGGGTCCCCCACTCCTACCCAGTACTAGGGCCCTCTCCCACCCAAAACTGTTTGGCCTTTATCTTAAATCCTTCATGTGTCCCTGTTGTTTTCCCCCAGTAGAATATAAGCTTTTTGAGGGAAAGAATTATTTCATTTTTTTTATGTCCCCAACACATAGCATAATGCTTTGATTACAGTAAGAATTTAATGAATGCAGATCCAATTAAATTATTAACTTGAAATCAGAAGATCTTGGTTAAAGTGCAGGTTCTGGAATTTACTAAGAAGGTGGTGGACTACAGGGAATTCATTCACCTTGTCCTAGCCTTCATTTTCTCATCAGTAAAATTAGGGATAATAATAACATTACCTACTTCAAGGAGTGATTGTGAGAAAGGCAATTTGTAAATAATCATAGAATCCATATAGCCCTGGAAGGTTCACAAAACATTTTATAGCTTCCTCATCTGTACAATGGGGATAATAATAGCACCTGCATCCCAGGGTAGATACAAAGATCTATTGAGAAAATATATGTAAAGCACTTAGCTCAGTGCCTACATATAGTAGGTGCTATAAATATGTTAGCTATTATTATCATAAATATAGAACTAGACTTTTTGTGATGGCAAAGAATTGGAAATTGAGGGATCGCACATCAGTTGGGACTGGCTGAGAAGTTGTGATATATGATTGTGATGGAATACTATTGTGTTTTGAGAAATGACAAAGAGGGTGGTTTCAGAAAAACCTGGGAAGATTTATATGAAGTGATACAAAGTGAAATGAGCAGAACCAGGAGAACATTGTACATAGTAATAGCAACATTGTAACTACAACCAGCTATGGGGAAACTTACCTACTCTGATCAAGATAATAACCTAATATCATTCCAAAGGACCCATAATGAGAAATGCTATCCACCTCCAGAGAGAGAACTGATGAACTCTGAGTGCAAATTGAAGCACACTTTTGTTTTAACTTCCTTTATTTTTCTTGTTCTTTTTTGTGTGTGTCTGTGTGTGTGTATTTGCAACATGGCTAATATGGAAATATGTTTTGCATGACTTCACATGTATAACTGCTTTCATATTTCTTGCCTTCTCAAGGTAGAGGAGAAGCATGGGGAAGGAGAGAATTTGGAATTCAGAAATTTTAATAATGAATGTTAAATTTTTTTTACATGTAATTGGGAAATACTTAAGAAAATAAATTTTATGTGTGTCATACACACACACATGCATATCCAAAAAAAAAAGAGAGAGAGAGACAGAGAGAGAGCTAGAAAGAACCTCAGAGAGCACATAGTCCAAAGCCCTCATTTTGTAGAAGAGGAAACCAAGGCCTGGTGAGATTGGTTTTCCCAAGGTCACCCAGGGGGTAACCTTCAAGAATGGTTTGAATCCAGGCCTCATTTTCAGAGTCAGGCTCTTTCCAGCAGTAGTGATTTGATATTTGATAGATACAATGCCAACTGTCTTCTTTGTTTTAATTTCCAGGCTAGCAATCAGGCAGGAGCTGGGCCCTACAGCGACCTCGTATCTTGTCGGACACCAGCATCGGCTCCAGATGCTGTCTCCACTCTCTACGTCCTGGAGGAAGAGACCCTCGGTGCCTATCCAACATCACCTTCCGTGTGCCTTGTACTGAACTGGGAAGAGCCGTGCAATAATGGATCAGAGATCATTGCTTACAACATTGATCTGGGAGAGAATAGCATTACGGTGACCAATGCCACGAGCTACGTTATTAAGAACCTTCTCCCAGAAACCTCCTATCGGTGAGTAGACTCTTAGGTCAGAGCCACCTGGAAATCAGATTTTTTTGAGAGACTGGCACTCAGCAGTGCAGGCTCTAAAGTCAAGGATGGGTGAATATTGAGTGTTAATAAGTCAGTGGCCACATAGAAGAGTAGACAGACATCTGGCTTCATAATCAGAAAGACTATTACCATCTCTAGTCACACCCTGACTCTGGGACCCCCATTAGCCTCTTTTTGCTCTAAATCCCCTTTAAACTCTTAAAAATTCAGGCCTCCTCCCTAAAGAACTTTTGCCTATAAGTTGGTGTTTTCTGCATAAGAAAGGAAAACATCTTAGTATTATCATAAAAAGTAGTTTTGACCTCCAGGACCTTCAGGGGTCACCATATGACACTTTGGGAACCAACACTCTGGATAACTCTTATATTTCAGAGAAAGTACTGACCTGCATTGGGAAGGTAGAGTTCCCTTACCTGGGATTCCCTATACCAATGAGATCACAGGACCAGGAAACTGTTCTCTTTAAACCAGGAATGCTGACCTAGATTTAATCAAGCATTTGCTAAAGGATTGCGTTATGTCAAATCTGCATTAGACAAGGCTTTTCTTCCCAGGGAGTTCCTGTATCTTGTACCTCAGTCAAAGAGGTAACTGGCCAGGAGTCCTTACTGATGAATCAATAACTTATTTGGCCATTCTTATTTAAGAGTAACCTACATAGAGTTACAAGGGGGTTGGGTTTCTCAACCCGACCTTCCACCAGTCCAGAAAATCTGGTTCACGATTGTTTGAGAAGCACAATTGCAGCGATTATGGCTGCATACAAATTTAGTATTTCAAGGAGATAAAGATGTAATTTTGGTCAAAGGAACTTCTTAACTGTCCCCTAGAAATTGGTAAAAATATAAATGAATAGGTCATGATGTTCCGGGGAAAATAAGGAGTGGGCAGGGGGTGCATTGTAGGCAAAGGGTTCACACAAAGAGCTTGTGGGAGGTGCTGTTTCGCCTTTTAATCTTTGGCAATCCCACATTGTTCTCACACAGAGTTTATTCTCCCTCGGAATTGCCATGAACAGAATTAACCTCTTTAGCGTCACCCCTAATGGAAGGAAGGGTGGGTTGTTGTTTTTTTAAACTGGAGGAGATCAGTCAGATCCTATGGGGGTGCTTTTCCCAAATGATTTGTGTCTATTATTAAAACAATTTTCCCCACAATTGCCAGTGGCCTTTTGCTGGGTGTATGAAATCAGCTGGAGACTACCCAGGATGCCAACTTAAAATGTGGTTATTTTTCATCTTGGAGCTGAATTTAAAATAACCAAGGCTGTTTCCTGGTTCTGGAAGGAAAGACCATGAGTCTGGTCTTGTAGGAAACATGCTACGGATCATGCAGAAGGTTCCAGTAACAGTTTGCAGGCTCCTTCCCCCATTAGACAAAGCTCCTAGAGGGCATGGACTTTCTTAGTATCTCCAGCACATAGCACAGTGCCTGACACATAGTAGGTGCTTAATAAATGTTAATTGACTGACTGACGTTAGAAAACTAACATTAGCTATGATACAAGTTAGGTGAAATTTTGACGTGTTCTTAACGCCAACAGGCATTGGGCAGTGGATAGAGAATCATTACAGTATATGAACCTAGATCTTCCCAACATTGAGGCCAACTCTCTTATCCACTATACCTCATTCTTCTCATATATGCTTACATATATGTGTGTGTATACATATACACATATTTATAACAAATTTGCACCTCTTCATTATTTGTAATTGGCTTCTTGTTCCATGTTTTCTCCTCCCAGTTATAAACTTCTTCTAGAGTAAAAACCAATTCTTTTTATTTCTCCCCCACAAGCACAGGAATTATTGCCAGGTACCTATGTGCTAAATAAATGCCTAATGGATGGATGGATGGATGGGTGGATAGATAAAGAGATGGATGGATGCATAGGTGGGTGGGTGGATAGATAGAGAGATAGGTAGATGGAAGGATGGGTAGAGAAATGGATAACTGTATGCACAGATGGGTGGGTGGATGAATAGAGAGAAGGGTGGATGGAAGGATGGATAGAAAAATGGATGGATGAATCAATAGATGGGTGGGTAGATGAATAGAGAGAAGGGTGGATGGAAGGATGACTAGAGAGATGGATGGGTGGATGGATTGATTGATAGAGGGATAGAGATGGAGGGAAGGGTGGTTAGATGGATAGATTGAGAGATATGTGGGAAGGGGAATTTGATCATTGATAATCAAGTTTTATGTCATCTTGTATGGAATAGCAGAAATTTTCTTTTGCAGAGTTATTGCACATATTTTGAAGAACAGTCTAGAGGCTTATAATCTTCTAACAAAGACAAGCCTTGGGCATCTCAAGGTAGAGGAGAAGAGATTGTACTTTTATTGGCTGATTTTCCAACCAGACTTCTCAAAGAGCTTCTCGCCTAAGTCGATTTACTTCCACAATACCCTCATTCAGTTAGGAGTTAGAGTGCAGTGTAGAATCCTTAGAGAGAAACAAATAACAGATTTTTTTTTGCCTGTCTTCTTACTGGCCATTTGCAGAATTACTTGAAGTCAAGTTGCTTCTCCCAGATAGAAAGCACCATTTCTTGTCCTCTGTGCTTAAATCTGATTAAATGCAAGTGTTATTTTTTAAGCCATAAACACCATCAGAATTCAAAGACTTCAGTTAAAACAGAACCTTATCTTGTGTGGGCCTTTGTAGTAGTAACTGATTAGGAGAACATACTTTTATGTTTTATTTAAGGAAGCAATTCAGTTCAATTAAACAAGCATATATTAAGCTCTTGCTAGAGGCAGTAGTTGGTACAGGGGACAGAGCGCTGGATCTAGAGTCAGGAAGAACTGAGTTCAAATTTTTTTTAAAAAAATATTTTTATTGGGCGGCAGCTAGGAGGCGCAGTGGATAGAGCACCGGCCCTGAAGTCAGGAGGACCAGAGTTCAAATCTGGCCTCAGACCAAACACTTGACACTTACTAGCTGTGTGACCCTGGGCAAGTCACTTAACCCCAATTGCCTGAAAAAAAAAATTTATTGACATCTTCTGTTTTTTATGTCATCATCGTTATCCCTAATATCCTTCCCCTGTCCCAGAGGATCATCCCATATGATAAACAGTATTGTTTAAAGAGGAAAAAAATCAGAACAAGTTATTGATACATTGGAAAAATCCAAAAATATGCGTAACATATAACACCTGTAGACCTCCCACCTCCTTGAAGAGGGAACATGGCGCATGTCCTCTCATCTCTCTTGATTAGAATCATGTTTGATCCTGATAATTTTGTTACACTTAGTTTTGATTTTTCAGTGGGTCATTGTTCTTTCCATTGACATTGTTGAGGTTACTGTGAATATTGTTCTCTGGTCTCTGCTGACTTTCCTCTGCATCAGTTCACATAGGTCATCATCATATTCATCATTTCTTACAGCACTGCCATATTCCATTCTGTTTATGTACCAGAATTTGTTTAGCCATTCCCCATTCGATGGGCATCGACTTTGTTTACAATTTTTAGCTATCACAAAAAGTGCTCCTATAAAGTTTTGGCATATATGGACATATTTCCTTTCTTCTTATTGATGGCGTCCTTGAAGTATAAACCTAGTAATGGAGTCTCTGGTTCAGAGGGTTTGAACATTTGGGTCATTTTATTTGCATAATTCCAAATTGCTTCCCCAAAATGGTTGTTCTACTTCACAGCTCCACCAACAATGTATTAGTGTGCCTATCTTCCCACAACCCCTCCAACATTGACTGTTGCCATTTTTTATCATCTTTGCTGCTTTGCAGGGTATGTGTTGAAATTTCAGGGTCATTTTGATTGGCAACTTCTCTTATTATTAGTGATTTGGAGCATTCTTTAATGTGGCAACAAATACTTTGCAGTTTTGCTTGTAAGAACTCTTAATTCTTATCCTTTGACTTATCTATTGGGGAATGACTATCTGAGTTCGGATCTATCCTCTAAAACTTACTCAAGCTATATGACCTTGGGCCAGTCACATTAACCTCAGCATCCTTAGCTGCAAAATAGGAATAATAATGACACCTACCTCTCAGTTATTGTGAGGATCAAATGAGGTCGTATTTTCCAAAGCTTAAAGTATTTTATGAATGATACACATCATTATTATTATTATGATTATTATGATTACTATCACTACTACTGTTATTACTACTACAACATGCCAGATGCCATGTTAGGCACTGGAGATACCTGGGGAAAAGTAGCCCCTGCCCTCAGAGACCTTACCTTCCCCTTGCGTTTTGTGTTTTGTTGTATTTCATTACTGTAATCCATGCAGGCTGGGCTAATCATTAGATGATTTCTCACCTTCAGTTTCTTCACCATACATCCTACACAATGACTTTTCTCAGCTAAGTCAAGTCACTGAGGCCATTTTTTATCACCAGGGAGCTAAATGACTCATCACCACTCATCAGTTGTTGTTTTTTTGCTAGAATCATTATGCTTATGACATCATACAGACAGTAAATAATGTTTTCGAGGAATATTGAGAGACTATTTCACAGACAAGCCACTGCCTCCTCCAGTATATTCTATGTTAAAGTAACTTTTCTTTAGAAATAAATACATGAGAGCCCACAAGTGGGTTTTGATAGGACTTTAGGGCCCAGAGCCATTTAAGTGATATGAAATAGACTAATAGCAGCTGCTCTGATAGGCACATTTCACAGAAAATGAGTGAGCCAAAGCTCAAACTCCATGTCAACGACATTTAGCATGGCTTGACTGATGCTGCAGGTCTTGCAAAGGATAATTCTCCCCAGTGCTGCGTGGCCGTATGGCTCATTGAACGTGGCTCAGGATGACTTGTGTCCCCAGCAGTCCCTTCCCCTCACTGAAGAATGCGCAGTCGTATCTTGATCCCTAACATTAGCCTCTAGTGGGGGAATCAGTGGCACAGGTCAGCTAAATCAGAGGATATTCCAAAAGTCATTCCTACTTGCCTTTGGAACATGTATTTCAATCTGGATGAATGTAATTTGTGAATCTACATTTTGAAAAAATAGGATCTGATTCCATTGAAACAAATAGTATTTTGTTTTCAAAGAGAAGAGCTTTTAAAAAATGTTGATTCGAGGTCATCTTTTTTTCTGGCTTTATAATCTTGGTAAGAGCATGTGTTTTTATGAGTTTTGACCCACAGTAAATACATATTAAAAAGAATCAACCCAGAAAGAGTCATCATCTTGTATTCTCAGTTAAACCCTTCTAGGGTGCTAGACCCAGAAAGCATCATTTTGCAGACTCACAAAAGCCAACAGCTCTATCATAAAGCTGCCATCTTTCTTGTTGATCTGGCAAGTAGAGAGGGTCTGGCACATAGTAGGTGTTTAATAAAACCTAGTTGACTGACTGACCATGGCAGGGTGAGGAAGAGGCGGGTGGAGGTAAGGAAGATGGCTCGGTATTTTGGTACAAGAGTAGAGAACCCCAAGATTCCTTCCTTTGCAGACTTCAGGCTATGATGCAGAGTGAGAACCAATGCAATGATGTTGGAGGTGCTGAAAAAGGGCTGATTGAAGGCACCAAAAAAAGTAGGCTTTGCTCTGATCTCATGGCTTATCTGCTAAGATGGTTGAATTGACTCTTTGTTATTCAGTCGTTTTTTTCAGTGGTATCCAGCTCTTCCTGACCATTTGGATTTTTTTGTTTGTTTTTTGACAAAGATACTGGAGTGGTTTGCCATTTCTTTCTCCAGCTTATTTTATACATGAGGAAACTGAGGCAAACAGGGTGAAGTGACTTGCCCAGGGTCACCCAGCTAGCAAGTGTCAGGGTCAGATTTGAACTCAGAAAGATGAGTCTTCCTGATTCCAGGCCAGGCACGCTATCCACTCTACCACCTGGCTGCCCCTGAATTGATTCTCATGCTCTTTAAAATGGGGGAATGATACACAGGATTGTGAATCTGGAAAATAATCTTACATTTGAGTATGTAGTTACCAAAAGCTGCAAGGGAAAAACCTGCCAGTAAATACAAAAGTGACAGCATTAAATCACAAGTGTATTAGAGCATCTTTATGGTTACATTTGTTCTACTCTGTTTCCTTAATTGTGGGAACCCTACACACCTCTAGAGCTATGAATTTATTTTGCTTTTTTTAAAGATATATTTTTCTAACTATATTTCAGTCTAACTGGTTTCCTTTGTAATACTATATATTTTATTTTTTGCATTAAAAATATTATTCTTGCAATTGCTAAAAAACAAAACAAAACATTATTCTTCAAAGTGGTCCATAGGCTTCCAAGAACCCCTGGCCTAAAGAAAAATAATATAAAATAGTATATATAATCTATATATAATCTATAATAGCATATGTAATATATAATTATTATAGCAAAGCAATCTATAATAGTATGTACACTATGTTATAACAAAGCAATCTATAATAACATATAATGTATAATCATCATAGCAAAGCAATCTATAATAGTATGTGTAATATGTAAGTATTATAGCAAAGTAATATATAATATGTAAGAGCAGCAATTGACCAATCACATTACAAGCCATAACAAATATATAATTATTATAGCAAAGCAATCTATAAGAATATGTGGAATATGTAATTATTATAGCAAAGCAACATATAATAGTGTATATAATACATAATTGTCATAGCAAAGCAATATCTAATATATAATTGTTATAGCAAAGCAATATATAATCATATATATAACATATATATAATAACATATATATATAACATAATCATTATAGCAGAGCAATCTCTAATAGTACATGTAACATATAATTGTTATAGCAAAGCAACATATAAGAGTAGATATAATAAATAATCATTATAGCAAAGCAATCTATAATAGTATGTGTAATATATAATTATTATAACAAAGCAACATATCATATGTCAAAACAACAAGATTGTCCAATCACAATATAAGCCATAACAAATAAAATTATTATAGCGAAGCAGTCTATAATGGTAAATAAAATAATAGTCTCTACCTCAATTATTTGTGTATTTCTCAAGCACGTCTTAGAACTACTCCCAGAGCCCCAGGTATCTATTAGCTCTACAAGTATAGACTCTGTTCAGGGGCCAGACCAAAAAAAATAAACAAAAGACTAGAACACAGAACATGGGAACCCAGAACACACCTGGGCTTTCCCCTACCCCCACCTTTCTTACGTACTATTTGTACAGATGTCAGCATTTACACTAAAGAGAAAGCAGGAAGGGGCCCTTCATAAAAGTCTACAAGTGGAGAGCTTGGGAGATATTGGCAAACTGTGGAAGGGAAGGAGATGGGGAAAGAGAGAGAGAGAGAAAGAGAGAGAGAGAGAATGAAAGAAAGAGAAGAGGAGAGAGGGAGGAGAGAGAAATTGATGAAAGGAGGGAGGGAGAGAGAAGAAGAGAGTGGAGAGAAAAGGCAAGAAGGGAAAAAGGGAAAGAGATGAAGGGGAAGGGAAAAGGGAGGGAGGGAGAGAGAGAGGCATGAGGAGAGGAGAAAGGAAAAGAAAGAGAAGAGGAGAGAGGGAGAAGAGAGAAAGAAATTGATGGAAGGAGGGAGGGAGGGACAAGAAGAGAGTGGAGAGAAAAGGCGAGAAGGAAAAAGAGAAAGAGATGAAGGGGAAGGGGAAAGGGAGGGGGAGAGAGAGAGAAATCTTTCCTGCTTACCTGTGCTTCCCCAGCAGAATGTTGGCAAATTCACTTTGTCCACAGGTGTTATGAATACAGTAGAACCCTCTTCGGAGAGGGCACCACTTTTCAATCTGACTATCAGGAGGCCCTTTGGAATGGGGTTTTCCATCATACTTTATCCTATACAACTTATTTGCCAGTGTTTAAAGAGCTATGTTCTAGTCTGTGGGATTGACATTAGTTTTAAATGCAGCAGAATATGCTATTATATGTTGCTTTGCTATAACAATTATATATTACATATACTATTATAGATTACTTTGCTATAATGATTATATATTATATCTACTATTATATTGCTTTGCTATAACAAGTATACATTACACATACTATTATAGATTGCTTTGCTATAATGATTATATATTATACATAGTCTTACATATTGCCTTGCTTTTAAATTCAGCAGAATGTAAGCTTCTTGAGGACAGGACTGATTCCTTTATTTCTTATCCTCATTATTTGGCACTAATGCTTTAGACATAATAGATGCTTAAGCACTATACAGGCAGTCCCAAAAGTCTTAGTGTAGTTTTAAACTTTAATTACTTAAAACTGAAGCAAGACTTTTGGGACACCCCATATAAAACAACAACAACAACAATAATACTAGCTAATGTTTATTGTAGCATTTTAAGGTTTGTAATGTGTTTTGCACATATTATCTTTTCTGGTGTTATCCCCATTTTACAGGTGAGGAAACTGAAGTAGACATAGGTTAAGTGAGTTACCCAAGGTCACACTGCTGGTATCTGCCACATGATTAGAACCCAGGTCTTGTAAACTCCCAATCTAGCACTGTGTCCCCATCAGGCTGCCTCTCTTATTATCATTTAAATTAGCACAGATGATAACAATAACAGCTAAAATTTAAATAGGTTTTCCAGGTATTTGGCCCATCTGATGTTCACAACCATTCTGTTCAGTCTCCCTATGTCCAAGCCTTTGTTCTCTCGACAGAACCTTTTAGTGGGGGTGGTAGTTGCTGTTTTTGCTTAGAGCCTCAGCCCTTTTTTTTTTTTAAACAGGGAGCTCACAAAGCCCTTTTGACATTGGTAAAAATACTAGATAATGGAAGGTAGAAATGATTCAGTTTGGCAAGAAGGACTGAGCATTCGCTGTTGAATCCCTGGCCCCGAGGTCGTTTGCCAACATGGCTGTTTTCCTAGGTGGTCCAGCTCAGATGGACGCATCGTCCCCCTCGACGCGCTAGGTTCCCAGAGAATGACCAAAATAGTCTGGTTTCTCATGTTCTGGTTCTCTTTATAAATCAAGATGACTAGTTTCCACCAGAAGGAGACAGAGCTCTTAACATTAGTGTATTTTCTCCTTTCCCAGGAGAAAACATAAGCACACCCTTCACCCCATCCACATGAAGTGACCCATATCCAGACATCTGGTTATTTTTAAAAACAAGGGAGAGGTTTTGGGGGGTTTGGTTTGAATTTTCTGCTTTCCTGTGACTTGTCACCTTCTCATCTATTTGTGCCTGTGTCTTCAGGCTGAAATGAAATTTGGTTTTGTCTGATTTGAAAATTAGGTCAACTGCTCCCCGCCTCACAGGCTCATGAGGGAACATGTTTTTTAAGCCTGAAATGCCAGATGAGTATGTGGGGTACAATGGGACAAATGCTGGAGAGTCAGGATGTGGATTTAAATCATGACTCTGCCTCTGGCTACCTGTGTGGTTTTGTCCCTTCCCTGGGCCTCAGGATCCTCCTAGAAAGTAAAGGGCTGGATGCAATGGCCTGCAGGATCTCTGCCTGATGGTGCTGTGACCCCAGGTCCAGTGGTCTGTCCACCATGGGTAGATTGAGGCCCCACTGTAGAGGGCCACCACCGTAACTGTCTTCAGGAAGGTTCCTTGCATTATCAGAAATCTTATGATTTGTTGAAGGCACTAAAGATGTCTTACTGATGCACCCTCAGGCAAACTCGCCAGTCCCAGTGGATCACATCCCATCCATTCTGTAAACTACCCGGGCGTTTCAATAATATCACTAGAAATGTTTTGGTTAAGGGAAAATCATTTAGAGCTCTAAAAGTATCTTAGCTACCTTGCCTGATTTTATTTTAATGTGCTTTTATTTCTCCCCTCCAGGATCAGAATTCAGGCCGTCAATGAAATTGGGGCTGGACCATTTAGTCACTCCATTAAGGCCAAAACGAGGCCATTACCACCCTCCCCTCCCCGGTTAGAGTGCGCGGCAGCGGGGCCGCAGAGCCTGAAGCTAAAATGGGGAGATAATAACTCCAAGGCGCACGCGACTGATGACATGGTGTACACGCTCCAGCTAGAAGACAGAAACAAGAGGTAAGCGTGAGCTCAGGCTACGAGTAATGGTCCAGGCAGCTTTGACCTAGGTGGGCCCATTCTCCAAAGGTTGAGAGTGGGCGGGTTAATTTCAGTACTTCATCTTGGGCATCTTTTTAAAATGCGCATTTTTTTTTGAGGCCCGGTTGTTTTTCTCTGTAACATTTTCTGTGATCTATGTGGGGGGGGGGGTGTGGGTGTATGTACACACATACTGCCTTATACAGTGCTTAAGTATCTGTATATACATTATATGCATATCTACAGATACAGCTATACATGTGTATACAGAGATATGTACTTAAACTTTTAACACCAACATACAATGTATTAGGTGGCTACTTCCTAAAAAGCACTGTCTTCAGTGTCAAGAAGGGCACAGTTTGGGCGAGACCTGATCCCTGCCCCCACTATTAGGACGGCATCGTAGAAATGAACAGTTTTGAAAGACTTCAGTGCTCCAGATTGACACACGGACCATCCGTGATTCCAGAGAACAGTAATAAAGCATGATACTTGCCTACCTTCTGACTGAGGGTGCATGATCAGACACACATTTTTGGATGTGGAGTTAAGTGTTAAATTGACTACCTTCTGTGCATGTAATGACTCACTACTCGTTGGAAATGGGTCTATTTCTTTGAGATTTCTCCAAAAAGAAAAATGCCCAATTGAAATCCATTAGGCATAAAGCTTGGGGAGAGAGAGGAAGTATAGGAAGGGAGCTGATATATTTGTCAATATTCGTTCATCTCAAAGGGAGTGGGGGGTGGGGAGAGTTTGTGGGTCAAAAACTGCTTCAGGGGATGTCCAAATGGAACCTGCCCTCCCAAGGCCACAAGCTTGAAAATGAACCAGACAAGTAGAAAAATTCTTCATTGTGTGCCACATTTAGGAAATATTCTGAGCTAATTAAAAATAAAATGCCCAGTTTTTGCTTAGATTTTTCTTATTTTTTTAAACTTACTTTCATTTCCTCTGACCATGACTGGCCGAGCTGGGTTAAGAACCCAGTACCAGTACCATAGCTAACCTTGATGGTGATAGAATGTTCTGTTACTAAGATGCCAAACGAGAGAATGGGAAAGGGGAAGGAAGGGATGAAAACCAAGGACACTCAGCACTTTGTAAAGGCACTACCATTGCTTCCCCGAGGATCTGCCTGCTGAAGAACCCCCCACCCCCCCAAAAAAGGCTCTTATTTTAGAGCTATTGATTTAGTTTCTCATTTGTGAGACTACAGTAGTTCAGCGTGAACCATCCTTATGGACCACAGTTGTATAAAGCAATGTATTTGTCCCATGACAGCAAATTGTGGTCCCACACTTCATGAGATAAGTTAGGGTCCTTTGAGAAGAGAAGAGAGAGGTTTTTTAAAGCTTAATCCCACTGCAGGAAGGAAATACTTAGAACCTAATAGAAAATCACTGTTAGTTGATCAACAAGCATTTATTAAGTGCCTACTGTGTGCTGACACTTCTAGGTGTTAGGAATACACAAAGATGAAAGTCTGTGCCCTCAAAGAGCTTATAGTGTGTGTGTCTGTATGTGTCTTTGTAAAGGCCAAAATATTTATTATGTATTTAGACACCAAGCATCTTCCTACTTTTGAATCAGACTGGAAAGGTAGCTTCTGCTACTGGAGAGGGCTGGGAGGAAAGAGAAATGGAGGCAGAGAAACACGAACCCACTAAATACAGAACAGAACTGAAAATCCTTTTCCTGGTTCTGGGTTCTAGTCTGCCCACAGAGAGGTAACCAGAAGACTTGGCTCAGGGCCATCACCACAGATGGTTGGCTCAGACACCGTCTTCCCCTTCTTTTTTTCCCCTTCGTGCCCACCACCCTCGAGGGCAGGTCTAGACCAAAGAACAGTTGTCCCAAAACAACACTGTTACTGTCTCCTTTTACTCCAAAGCAATACCAGGAAGTTTCTCAGCATGTGTATGTTTCCACGTGTCCACACGCATACATGTATGCACACACATTATCCTAATGGCTGAACAGGGCTGGGGATGGTCAGTAGATATTTGAGCTATTTTTTCCTGTGCCTCTTATATTTAGTTTTTACATGTCCAAGACAAGTCATAATCCTTGCCGAGACAACCTCCAAGAGGCCTTCGGGGATTTGGACCTGGCCTAAGAGTAGATCTCAATATCAGGTTTGACTCCAAAGGCAACCACTGAGACTAGTAAAGTCTCATGGATTTTCCTGAGCCTTTTTAAATTCTGTTGTCCCTTATGACTGTTGCCTAAGAAAACATAAAAGAATCTCACGGTCAAGACGTGCTCTCTACAAATAAAAACCAAGACTGTCTCCCTGTTAAATCAATTACTTAAGCAAAATTTTAAGGGAAATTTAAAAAAAAAACTTACACGAGGGATGACATTTTTTATAATATTACAAGCTGAGATCCAAATTCATCTTTTTTAAAATTGCATTTGTAGATAATCTCAGAATGTTATTAAAGTGATGGGAATGTATAATATAATAAATTCTCATTCTATATATAGAATTAGTTCCATTGCATTTGATATGATGAGAACTTAGCCAGACTAGTTAGTTGGCAAATGACCTTTCATAGTATCCTAAAATTTAAAAAAATAAGCAATCTTGCCAGCTTAGGACTAGAAGCCCATGAAATCCCAATCTTTTACATCAAATATTTGCTGGTTTACAAAAGGGAGGAATAATTTTAATAAATTAAATAATAATGTATTCATGTGGTGGCCCTTCTTGTGGCTTTTTCCCTTCCCATTACAAAAATTGGGAGGAAAAGGCACTCATGTCAATTTCAAAGGAATCTAGTGTCAGCGCTCGGTCCCTTGGCACAGGCAAAAACCAACTGTCCTCAGAATTCCAAAATTCTTAATGAGTGAGATCTTCCTGTTTGGTGGATTCTAAACCCACTGGAGAAGGAAATGGCAAACTACTGTGGCATCTTTGCCAAGAAAACCCAAAACAGGGTCACAAAGAGTTGGATATGACCGAAAAATCCATTGGGGTCCAAAGAAGGAACTTCTGAGGATACCCCAGAGATGCTGCCAAAGCACCCCTCCATCCCACAAGATCTCATCACATCCTCTCAGCTCCTCATGGGAAGCAAAGGCAAATGTTGAAAGTTAGGCAAAAAAGTTCCTGGCTGTGGGAGTGTTGTTTCTTGGTGCCAAGGGCCAGGATGGCGTTTCTGGTGCGATGGGGAGTTAGTTGCCTACAGGGAGTAGAGATAGAATGAAGTTCCGTTTTTGGTTACTAGTCCTCAGACAGAGGGGATGGAGCTCCGTTCCTACTCATTGCTTCTCAGAGATGGGATGGACCACCATACCTAGTCACTACTGCCAAGAGAAGGCATCAGTCCCCAGAAATGGGGTGTACCTTTAATCCTGGTCCACGAAGATGAGATTGTTATGTTACCAAGTGTAATTGGATCTAGAGCACTTAGCATGTACATTATTAGTACTATCACACAATCACCACTCTCCATACATGAACTGCACCACCAAAACTAGGTAGTACCCTATGGAGTTGAGGTGAACCCGCCACACAAAAATGAGCTGGTCACCACCATTCCAAGTCACCACCACCATCCATTCCCCAGTCCCTCTCTCTGGGGGGAGGGAGGGAGATGACTCACGTCAATGGTACAGGGAACAAGGCTCGGGTGAGATGATGTGCCGCCATGATGGGAGACCCAGTCTAAGCCTTAGCAGCTGTAGATGGCTTGGGATTTTTTTTTTTAAATAAATTCACATCTATCCATATCTTACCCAGACAGACCAAAGAATAGGGTGTTCCTTCTTTAATGATGTGATCTGTCATTTAATTAGAAATGCCATTTGAAGGCGAATTTTCTTCAGGAACATACAGCACTCTTTTTCACTGGCTTTAGCTGATTAGGTGGTATGTTCTCTCCTTTATAATTAGACAGTTCTGCTCTGCGAGTATGAAGCATCTTCAAAGGATGGGAGGAGGGGGTAGAGAAATACTTCTTTTTGAAAACAAAGCTATTAAACCACTTGATGAGCCCAGCAATTCTAAGGGACTGTAATTCTTTATTCCTCGCAGCAACCAATTGTCCTTTTGGCCTAATTGTCCTAATGACTTTCAGGAATTAATGTTGCACCAATAGCACCAGTCAGTCTTTTGGGTTTTGTTTGGGTTTTTTTAAGATACCTGCCAGGCATCAAACATTTAGAAAATTGTTGGAATGATACTTTAGAAGGCATATAGGACAGAGATAGTGAAGAGAAGGGCCTGGCATTGCTCTTGTCTTCCTGGAAGACCTGGGTTCAAATCCTCCTTCTGGTATTTATTACATGTGTAACCACTGGCAAGTCATTGAGCTTTCTGGGCCTCAGTATGCTCATCTGCAAAATGGGGATAACAATACCTCATTCATAAGGTTGTTGTGGGGCTTGAATGAAATAATGTTTTTAAAGTGCTTTACAACTTTGAACTTGACTTTGATTTTTGACCCAACTTTAGAACATGATATTAGAAAAACAGTTGGTAAACATCGATGAAAGGAAGCCATGGTGATAGAGTATCAGTTAGAATGGCTTCAACAATTATAGACCATGCCACACTATAACCTTAATTTCAAAGGTATGGGAGGGGAAATGGTATAGCTAGCACTCTTTTCTTTTACACTAGTGCTGACTGGCAAGAATCAGCTGAATGTGCAGATACAAACTCATCTCTGTTTCTCTATCCCTCCCTGTCTCCCTGTCTCCCTGTCTCTTTCTGTCTTTCCCTCCCCCTCTCTCTTTCTCTCTCCCTCTGCCCTCTTTCTCTTCCTCTCTCCCTGTCTTTCCTCTCTCTTCTCTTCTCTTCTCTTCTCCTCTCTCTCTGTCTCTTCTCTCTCCCCTCCTCCTCTTTATCTTCTCTCTCTCTCTCTCTCCCTGTCTCTCCTCTCTCTTCTCTTCTCTTCTCTTCTCTTTTCTTCTCTTCTCTTCTCTCTCTCCTTGTCTCTCCTCTCTCTTCTCTTCTCTCTCTCTGT